CCTGCTGAAGTGATTCATGTTACTTGAGATCTCGAAAGGCTTCTGATATGCACGTAAGGGCGTCTGGCCCTTGTGATGAGCTTTCTATATCGGTCTGAGATGGCTGCAAGTTCCTGTGGAGGGAAAGATGAAGCAGAGCAGCAGATGGGGGAAGCAAGGAGCAACATCGGAGAGACAACTTGGCAGATGATGATACGAGGAGTTTTGGGGGGAAATGCAAGGTATAGCTGTGTACTTCAGTTACTATAAATGCTGATGTTGACTCAGGTTCTGAAAGACCTCGAATATGGCAACATCAACTGCAAAGCGACAAGAAAGACGAGGCAAGCAGATGGCAGTCATTATTGTCGAAGACCTTGGCTCAAGATGGTGCTACTGTGTGCTGGAAGTAGGGGAAAAGAAACAGGATAAGAAGAGGAAAAGCTGATGTTGTAGAGATGGAAACCGTCTTGGGGATTTTTATCAGGGAGGGATGTAATGGTAGACAAGCCAGAGAAATGCAGTTAAACGCGCTGAGCTAGGTGGCAGCAACTTTTGAGAAATGGAACGCGATAAGTTAAGGCTGGAGAACATCAAGTTCTAGTTATTGGACTGGGATTTGGTAAATCTCCCAGATTAAGGATCTATTACAAAATGAGAGGTAAAGAAGTATTTGGAAAAATTTTGAGTTGATTCTGGGCCCTTCTTTAAGTCAGCTGCAGAGAAGACGTCACAGAGGACAGCGCAGGATAGAAGGAAGCAACCGGTGCAGAGGTGGCAGCTAAGGCTTGCGTAGCTCTCTTGGCACCTTGGATATTTCACATGAGGGCATTTTCAAGGAGCTGGTAACAGCTGCGATGTAAAACTGTTCTCTGCAACTTATATATGTAGGATGTGTTTTTCTAAAAGATACCAGTATCAGGTGTGGTTCAGTTACATTTTATTGGCGGCTGTTAGATCACATCAAGCTCAAATAACGTATTTAATAGACTGTTTGAATTGTGGAACAAAAGTTGCATTCCTGAGGGCACTTACCTGTGTTACTCATTGGAACAGTTTTGGGTGTTTTACAGGCTGCAAATATTTGGCAGGCTTGTGAATGCCAGGATAGTGAGGCACGGCAGTACTTGGAATTGGGTTTAGGGGGGAGGAATGGAAATTAATTTGTCTTTTTCTCAAGGTTAATGCTTCATAAAATACAATTAACAACAACAAAAAAAATCACACCAAAACCTGAACTGTGACTCATTTTTAATAAACATCTTGGGCTTTTTTCCCCTTCCACTGGCTGGAATATGGGACTCGTTGCCAAAGCCAACTGGACTTACACCACTGTTTCTCTGAGGACCTTAGAGAAGATCTCTTTGAGGTCAGTTTCGAAGCTGGTAACTAGAAAGACATGGACCATTTGTAAAGTTGTCATCTCCAAAACCCATCTGAGGAGGTAACGGGCGCCCTTACCAAATCTCTCTTCCGTACCTGCCTATTGTACAAGCTTCTCTCTTTGACTAGAGGCTGTGCTAGTAGGTCATCAGAGAGCTCCTTAACATGGAGAGTAAACATTTTGAGTTAGTGTTGTGAATTTCCCAAATACAGCAGACTAGTTTTTTAGCTACAATGCCTGACTGACACTAAAGCTAAACTCCTTTTGTAGCCTCTGTATAATTTTTCCTTTTGTACAAAGGTAGTCACACCTGCTCTCTCTTTACTTTATAAAACAATTGGACAAGAGAGAATCTCTCAAAGAGGCTTAACTCTTAGGACATGCGTAGATACCACTTAGCGTCACATGGCAACTGCAACCCAAGTAAGTAATGCTTGGTTACTGAGATTCTAGTTCACGGTGACTTGGTTATACCTGTCCTGTTAAAGGACAAATGCAGCCTTGTGACACTTGACTTGACCTTTACTCGTGGACGTAAATCTAGCAGGGACCTAAAACTATCATTACGCTTGTCCTTTGTTCTGCCCTGCTGCGCTGAAGAGAGCTTTTGCTGTCATATCGGATGATAATGCATAGAAATTTAATAGTGGAAAAGTAATGTGTTGATTCTGTGGCAGATAAGGCTGGTGTTAAGTTTTTTACCTATTTCATATTTATTTAAATATTTAGCTCCTACCAGGAGGAAAAGCAAGTGGAAGAACAGAATGTCCTAGTGCCTGCCATCCTGGATTTGCTCAGAGAGTTTAAGCTCAGGTTCAGTTAATGAATCAGTTCCAAACTGAAAAAGTAAGTAGTATATTGAGATGCAAATAAGCAGAAATTTTGCTCTTTCTGTTGGAGTCAAGCTGAAACCAGCTTAAATAACAAAAGTAAAATGGTATAAGGACAGAGCTTAAGCCTGACTGGAATGTCTTCCAAATTTGCAGCCAAGTAAGAAGGAGGGAGACGAAGTTCTTGAGAAATTAAATCTCTCCCCTTTGCCTTCAGTTCACACCCGTTCCTAAAACAACACAGCTGCTTATGGGATGCAGGAGGTTCTCTCTTGGTTTATTCTCTCGGGCCAAAATTAATTTTTAATTGTACTCATGTGGTTTGATGTGAGGAGAAAGCTTGGGGATGTGGGGGGAAAGGAGTGTAAGCTTCCGATAACCTGTAATAAGGAGCGGAGAGTGATTTGAGAGTGTGCCCTTCCCTCACGCTGCAGTTTGTCTTCCTCTTGTACTGAAAGTCATGAGCACCTGGACCAACAGGAAGCCCTGTCAGCATCCTTAAAGCACCCAGAAGGAAGCTGCGAGGGCCCGGCCACAAGGTTGTGGATAGTTCATTTTTCTTTCTCAGGGTTTCATGTTGTCCTGAATCCAGTCAAGATAACGATTCACATTTGTATAAACGCCAGGTATGTCTTTGCGGCCACAGCCTATTCCCCAGCTGATGATTCCAATTAGATGCATACGATCATCCTTCATACAGACCAGAGGCCCTCCAGAGTCACCCTACGGAGAAGCAGCAGGTTAGTAACAATCTCCTTTCTTGTTTGGTTGGTTTTGTGTTGGTTCCCCCCCCCCCCGGCTTTAGCGGTGCACTAGTGTCTACAGAAATACCCTATGTAGTGTGCTCACAAATCGAGAGCTCTTAGTAACAGCACTGTCACATAAGCCGCCTTTGTGTTCCAGACTCCCTCAATGCTCCTCTCATGGGGAGAGACCCCAAAAAATCTAACTAACACTAATGCGTCTAACTTTGTACGGCACTCATTTATGAAATGTAGGTGAGATGTTGATAAGAACGAAAAGAGGAATGCTCTTATTCAAGCTATAAAGATCTGGGGTGTTTTATACTGCTGTGTGTAACAGTAAAGCAAAATTACTAAAGAGCCGTTTAAATGGAAGGGATGTGTGTTGACTGCGTGCCCTCCTTTTTCCTCATGTTACAGCTGCTTGTCCTCCACCATCTTTTGGCCTTTATTCTTTTCTCCACCTCTCAGCAGAGCGGCACCCCCTTCCTCTCACAGAACCTCCTGCTGAGTATTTTGCGTGCTCACATAAGAGAAAACATTAGGAAGTGCTGCTGAGGTGGAGTTTCCTGCTCAGTTTTGTGGTGTTACCTATATTTGGAATTTTCAGTCTGTATTGTTCTGGTTTGCTTGGTGAAGTGTGGCTTGCTTTCCCAGCTATGAGGGGCAGGGGAAGAAAAAAGAAAGAGGCGCCAACAGTTCTGTTCTGTTCAACAAAAGTCTACTAGAATTTCCTTGTAGCCAAACGCACAACTTCTTTAAACTGTTTTCTGAAGCTTTTTGTTTGGTTAGCTCAGACTATCAAGGACGGACCTAAAAAGAAAAGAGGAACAGTATCCGGCTTACCTTGCAGGCATCATCAAGGTGCCTTGTGTCTCCGGCACATAACATATTGTCTGTAACGGTCCGGTTGTCGAGATGCTGTGTTGTGCACCGACTGGCTGGAAACAGCCTGACATGGCCTTCCTTCAGGTGCTCTGAATAGAATGGAGAAACTGGAAGAAAAATGACAATATAAATGCGTATATATGTCTGTGTATATATGTGTATATATTTAAAAAAAAAAAATTGCAGTTCAGTTTCTGTAGTTTAGGGGAAAGTAAACAGAAGTAGCTGGCGGTGGAGGGGTGGCTAAACTAGTATTTCCTTGCCAAAGGGTCTTTTTTAATTCTTGGGGGTTCTGCTTTGCTAGTGAGAACAGCTTAAATCTAGTTGAGAGAGAATATTGCTGCTTTAGCAAGCTTAAATGCTAAAGAGGTTTTTGTAGGCTCCAAATTAAAGACTGCTGGGTTTCTTGGATGGATAAGTTGTCTTTGCGCAGTTGTATCGATCAAAACGAAGTCAGAGGAAGTGCCTATGAAAATCACTAGCTGTATGAGACGGGGTCCTGACTTTTTAGTATTAGACTCGTGCTAACAAAAATGAGATGCCTTGTCGTACACAATTCTGAGTAACTGGGTAGGAATGTAGACTTGTGTTATGTTGGAATGGAAAGGATTTTCTGTTTGTTTTGGGAGTTGGTTTTATTCTCCTGCATAGCTGCAATTGCACAGAGCTGAAAGTTGGCAGGATTGTTGTTTTTCAGTCTAGTTTTGAATTACAGTTGCAGCATCCTTTCCCTCTGAAGGAGCTTATCCTGTACTCCCTGTAAGCAATGCTGAGGACTAACTTTAAAAGCGCTTTTAAAACACTTTCTGCCGCACTTATATGTTAAATCTTCAAGTCTGTTCCAAAATCCCTATGGGTTTAAATCACGATTAGGTCTTGTTATGATGGATGCTTCACAGTCTCTATCTCAGAGTTTACAAGTTAGAGAATAAAAACAAAGTCGTAGAAAGTGCCAGTAAAATAAGAGCTGCATTTTTTTGTTTGTTTTAAATATAGGTCAGCCTGTGTACACTTTCAGACAGGTTTTATTCCTGTTTGTTGTAGCTCACTTTAAAAAACATTTAGCCAGCCTTTTAATATGTAGCTGGGATTGTTATTTCTTTAGCTTTCTTTTTTTGCTAATCGCTGCACAGCCAATGTATCTTTTAGAATAATGCAACTACCTGCAGCTGTGTAGTATATTAAGTCTTGACAGAAATGGATTGCTGTCAGAATGACAGTATCTAAATGTACTCAGTACAGCAGAAACGTGGCAGCCCTGATTGCAAATTTTCTGTCTTTCCTACCTTATCCATTGTGCCATTTTTTGTGTTTCTACTGTTGGAGAGTATCAAGGAAGACTGCTAACCCATGCAGCTGACAGAACTCAGATGAATTAAATAACTTACACAAAAACAAGTTTTGCCGTATCTCCCACTTACACATACGTTTTGTAGTGCTGATACAAGCCCATATAATAATTTGGGGTCACACATTAAGCGATGCTAAAAGCTTGAATTCTTTGAGGGCAGAGGACCCAAACTTTGGACATAGAATCTTCTCCTTTCACGTAGACGTGTGTCTTCTACTTACATTCTTCATTTTTGCCATAACCAGAGATCTCGCATTCGGTCCAGTCAGGCAGCTGCAGTTCTGGTGTTGGGAGGCAGGCAGCACGGACAGTGTCCGTTTCAACAGCACAGTCGTCTGTGTCCGACTTCAACTGCAACAGAGCTGAAGAGGGAAAAATATCCCCCCCTTCATTAACCACAAACTTGAGCCAACCGTGACCTTTCCCGTCACGAGGTCGGAGAAGTTCTTACCAATATCATTGTCGAAATTTTCTGGGTCAAATCTCTGATGCACAGTGTAGTTCTTCACTTGAAACTTTTGTTCAGTTTCCTCGGGAGTTGCTCGGGAAGTCCTACCCAGCACGACCTTCAGCTGATTTGTACTAAAGCTGAAGAACAAAAGAGTCTTTACTTCCTTCCCGTGTTAACTGGCATGGACCCTTCCCATGAAGATGTGCTGTTGGAGCTTCTGCTTTTCTTATTTTAGCACTATGACTACTTCATTACCCAGGCAGTTTGACCTCTAGTGTCCTATTTGCCTTCCTTTGTGCTAATTGCTTACAGCCATCACAGCAAAGCTCCTCTGCCAGCCCCTTGCTGTTCTCAAGTTTCAGAGTGCTCCGCATCTGTATTGACAACTTTGTTCTTCAGCTATTTGATATTCTGCTGTGGCAGCTTAACGCCATGCTTCTAGTTTGCCCAGCAAATGCCTGTCTGTAATGCTCAGCCCAGTTAACTCTATAATCTTTAGTGCAGAATGACTTACTGGGATAAAGAGCTTTTTTCAAGTCTTTTACCCTTCCAGCAAGGCTGTACTGAATGCTTCCATTTTCCAGACTTTTCTTCCCCCCAGACAGTACTGAATCCTCAACTTACCCTTCCTCAAAACAGTGAGCAGCTGACAGAACCCAGCAGGAACCGATCAGAATTCCTCCGCAGAGGAAGTGCTCTCCAGGTGCTCGACGGTACTTCACAAAGATGGCAGCTTGCCACGGGTGAGCTGCAATGTCTGCATAGGAGCCACCTTTAATCCTGTACTGGCGTCCTCTGCGCTGCCGTAGGCCACAGGTGGCTGGGGATGACAAACCCAGAAATAGGCTTTTTGATCAGGCGCTCTTGCTTTGGGTTTGGGATAAGAGCCTGTTAGTCATCAGCGCGTGTTGAGGCAGCCTGGCCTGAACTGTTCAGTATCTGACTCATTCCTGTTTCCTAGGAAACTTGTATTCTGATTTGAAAAATACAGTAAGGAAACCCTGCCTCTTCTGTCCTCCATTTCTGCCGTCTTCCCTTCTGGCAGAGAAAAAGGCACTTCTGTGAGAGTGGAGCCACAGAAGCTCTTTCTACTCCAAAAAGCGCTTTTTTTCCCCCCAGCTCTAGCTATACTCAGCCTTAGAAGAGGCTTGAGTTTAATACCAATGACATGCAGAACAGTAACGCCTCAAAGAAAGAGAAGAATCAGGAGCGCTAGGATCCTTACAGCAAGTAGGCACATTGCAGTACTCCCATGTGAGCCGATTTCCTTTCAGTACATGGCACCAGGGCTTGCTGTCGTTGTCAGGATTCCTGCAGCACAGGAAAGAGAAGAGCTCTTTGTATTATCAGATCTGCAGGGAGTTTGGGGAGGCCTAAAGGTGGCAAACTGTGACCCGAGTGTACTCTTTTTGCTTTTTCTAGAGATACGGAGGGCCCTAGGGGCAGGTGGAACTTGCATTTATGGAGTCTGATGTTTGAGATGCATAGGTAAGTCAGGTGGAATAAAATTACTATTGTCAGTGAGCTTCATTCCCAGCAGCAATGTATTTCTTGTGCTTTAATAACCCATGTAGAAGACTATAGAGCCCTGCCTCAAGAGCTCCCCAAGGAAGCTCGGTGGGATGTTTTTAATTCTGTAACTGACTACATACCGGCAGAAGTTGTGACTGCCAAGGCCCAGCTGGTAGGCATCTCTTCTCCAAGCAGTATATAATTTGTTGACAAGGTTTCGAGAATTCCACCTCAAACAGGTAGCTCCAGAACTGGTAACGCTGTGGCTGCCTCGGTAATCTGTGCCTCTTCCAGATTTGCAGTTGTTGTTCCCAACTTCAATAAGAAAGCTGCACGTTAACCGATGGATGTGAACCCGTCAGCTGTTCCTAACTGTGATTTCTGTCGAAGCATCTATATATTAGCTATACTTATCTCTGGCTCTCGGTGTCATAAATATTAAAAGTTTAAACATGATTTAACGTGAGAGTCTCAACTTTTCAGGCTGCAGAAATAGCGTAAGTCCGCAGAGAACCCTTATATGCAGTGAATCGTGGAAGCTGTAAAGTCCGTTCCCTGTCCCCCTGCATGTACCTTTTGAACAGGAGGGCACACTGCAGTGTTCCCAGGTGTACTTTCCCCCTTTATAGATATAGCACCAAGGTCTGGAATCCTCGTCTGGGTTTCTGAAAGAGTTATGATATTATGCATCATTATACAGCTATTGTTATTAGGCCCGTGCCTGCCATCTAGTTCGGTGACATAATCCTGCCCTGCAGTGAAGGCGTGGACTGAACCATCAGCAGTCGTTCGGAT